AGCTCTCATCCATTCATTTCCCTTTAGAGCCCCTCACTAATATTAATGATGCTGTATCAGAGCGAGGCAGCTTATACTGATGTCTGATCCCAAAAACCAACAGAGTGGTGCGCTGAAGGGAGGAAGATAATGTCTTCCCCTAATCTTTCTCTTTTCTTTTCCTTTCCCTAAAGGTCACGGTGGTTACATGAAGGGGGTACTGTGTGTTTCTGGTTCCTCCGGAGAGCGGGGTGTTGTGCGTTTCTAGCAAAGATGCCATAGCTCGAGTTTCATGGGAACAGATTTGCCCTCTTTCGCTGTGCTTGGCCTTTGCGTTTCCCATGGAACAATATTTAGTTTAAGAGATATTTTTATATCCATGATCAGTATATCATTTATGAATTCCAATCCCGATATGAAATATAAAGCTCAATTCCAGAGAAGTTGGGACAGCCTGTGAAATGATAATAAAACCAGAAAGCAGTGATTGGTAAATTGTGTTTTATCTTTATTGAATTGAAAACACAATATTATTTGATGTTTTACCTTCTAAACCTTTTTTGGTAACACTTTCTATGAATGTCACCTTTGTAAGCATCTATAAACACATTTATAACATGTTATAATGCCTTTATACGGCATTATAAACATGATTATAAACATTTATAAAAATGAATTACACTGAATTACACTTTAGTCATGTTTATTATACATTATGAATTGTTAATATAATGCATTATAAATAGTGTTAATAACATGTTATAATGTCAGTGCCAAAGAAGTCAGTCCCAGCTTGGAGAGCGTAAAGTAAAGACAAATACCAAGCTAACGGTGGTGTACATTACCTTTCCCACATTGGGTAAAACACTGATGGCAGCTCTAGTTTAAACTCTGGCATCTGAAGCCTGTAATGTGCTTTACTGTGAATGTTTTAGTGTTTCAGTAAATCCTTCAGTAAATACTTCAACTTGAAGCCTCACTCTGAACACTGGAGGAGGCTTTAGTACAGTACAGCTCACTTTACTTAGAGCGGACAAATACGACTTATGAGCTCTTATAATTTATGATCAGTACTAATAATGCATAATAAACATGGCTATAATGTATAATGCATTTTTATAAATATTTATAGCCATGTTTATAATGCCTTATGAATGCATTATAACATGTTATGAATGTGTTTATAGATGCTTACAAAGGTGACATTCATAGAAAGTGTTACCCCTTTTTTTCTTGTTTTTGTTTGTTTTTTGTAAATGTATGCTTAATATAAATTTTAATGTCTGCAACACATTGCAGACTTTATGCTGGAAACAATCTGAATGGTTCTTTTCTTCTTTGGCCCAAAGAACTCGCTCACACACACACTGTCTATGCCGCTTATCCTTCTGAGTCACCCCCTTACACCATGACAGACCCTGACTTTTGCATTTTTTACGGTGGTAACAATCTGGATGGTCCTTTTCTTTTTTGGCCCAGAGAGCACAACATCCATAAACAGTCGTAATGATTCACTCGTCTATCCCAGGGGCCATTGGGCGGAAGGCAGGAAACACCCTGGACAGGTCGCCAGTCCATCACAGGGCACCAAAGAACACAACGTCCGTTAATTCCATAAATAATTTGAAAGGTTGACTCGTCAGACCACAATACATGTAATTTATATTTGAATGTCATTCAGGCTTTTCTGAGAAGCTCTTGCGTGTCTCAGTCACTCACTTATCAACTTTAGAGTTGCTTTTGTGTGTTTGAGAAGATGTTGCCTAAAAGGCAGCATATCGCTGCTGTCAGAAGAAAACCTTGTATCTCCATTTTTGTCGTTTTTCAGTTTTTGTCATAATTTGAAAATGCCTGTTGCTCTTTACATTGTGTGTAAATTTCATGAAGAATGGACCAAAAGAAACGGCTCAAAATTGCTTGGAAGTTACCATTTTGGAGATACGATGTTTTGCTCCGACAGCAGCGATATGTTGCTCCAAAATATGTATATCTCTTTCAGGGTTAATGGTGCTTTCACAGATGTGCGAGTTAACCCACTAATACACCCCCCTATACCATGACAGACAGCGTCTTTTGAACTTTACGCTGGTAACAGTCTGAATGGTCTCTTTTTTGGCCCAAAGAACACAACGTCCATTAATTCATTAAAAAAATTTAAAGGTAACAGTACATGTTACCTGTACATGTTTCCACTGTGCATCAGCTCATTCAAATGAGGTTTAAATCTGTGCATGTGTGCATGTTGTTTTTCATAGACAGTGTAATTTATATTTGAATGTCATTCAGGCTGGATTTTAACCCAATTATCTACCCAATTTAGTCGTCTCCAATTCCACCCGCTACTTAGGACTCCCAATCACACGATACTATCAACGCTAGGAGGGTGAAGGCTAACACAGGCTTCCTCCGAGACCTGTGAAGCCAACCACCGCTTCTTTTCGAACTGCCGCTCACGCAACGTCACTGGACAGCTGAACGCGCTCGGAGGAAAGAGCCAACCGCCAGATCTGTTACGTCAGCTAACAGACGCCTGCACTGACTAGCATCGTGCTGAGTGATGGGGGGAGAAGGAGGGGCCATCCTGCCCACCCAGAGAGAGCGAGGCCAATTGTGCTCTCCTGGACTCCCGGCTACGGACGGCTGTAGCATCACCAGGGATCGAACTCGCGATCTCCTGATGATAGGGCCAACGCTTAGAGGGTTGCGCCACTCGGGAGCCTTATTCAGGCTTTTCTGAGAAGCTCCTGCATGTCTCAGACGCTCACTTATCGACTTTATTGAGTTACTCTTATGTGTGTGAGATGATGTTGCCTAAAAGGCAGCATATCGCTGCTGTCGGAACAAAACCTTGTATCTCCAAAATGAGAACTTTACAGGAGAAAGAAAAAAAAATACTTTACTTATAATGTAGGTCAATGGAACCAGACTTTTTTCCATGTAATTTTGGGACATTTCTTTTGGCCCATTCATCACGAAATTAACATGCTATATAAAGAGAAACAGACATTTTCAGATTGTCAAAACGTGAAAAACAACAAAAATTAAGATTAAAGATTAAAATTAAGATATGAGATTTTGTTCCAACTGCAGCGATATGTTGCTCCAAAATGTGTTTATCTCTTTCAGTGTTAATGCTGCTTTCACAGATGTGCGAGTTAACCCACTAATACGCCCCTTATACCATGACGGACCCTGCCTTTTAAACTTTATGCTGGTGTCAATCTGGATGGTGCTTTTCTTCTTTGGCCCGGAGAAAACAACATCCATAAACAGCCATAATGATTCACTCGTCAGACAACAGTACGCAGTACTGTGCATCAGTCTATTTCATATGAGCCCGAGCCCAGAGCAGTAGGCGGGGTTTCTAAATTTGTTGACATTTGGCTGTGCATAGTCCTGTCTTGAGTTGCATTGTGGATATAAGTATTCCTGAGCCCACACAGTGATATCCATCACAAAAGCATGCTGGTTTTTAATGCAGTGCCATCTGAGGGATCAGTTGTGATTTTCAGCCTTGACCTTTACGCAGATTTCTTCTGAATCCCTGAGTCTTTTGGCGATAGTGTGCTGTAGAGGGTGAAACGACTAACATCCTTGCAGTCGCTTGTTGAGGAATTTTACTCTCACTGTTGGATCAGATTGGATTGGATTATTGTGACTTGCTCATAAAGGACTATGCTTTTACTGGATGCTCCTTTTATACCCAAGCATGATCACATCACATTTCAGATGTTTTTAGTCTTAATTTGAATGAAGAATCATGATGACTGTTTCCATGGCGTAGAACATGCTGTATTATTTATTACTCATTATGTTGTAATCATCTCATACCATTTATCTCATACAATACCTGCTGTCATGTAAATACAACAAATCGGTCTTATATGCTATGTAAATATGCAAATAGATACACTTTCATTCCTACTCTCTCATAGTTTAATCTAACTTATGTCTTTTTCTATTTCTGCCTAATTTATGTCTGTTTTTATTCCTATCTTTTATCTGTCTTCTTTTCTTCTGCCTAATATATCACTGCTGTTGGAAGAAAGCCTCATATCTCCATGTTGTTTTTCTGTTTTTGACATAATTTGAAAAAGCCTGTTGCTCTTTATATTGTGTGTAAATTTCATGAAGAATGAACCAAAAGAAACGACCCAAAATGATTTGGAAAAAAGTCTGGTTCCATTGACTTACATTAAAAGTAAAGTACATTATTTCCTCCTGTAAAGTTACCATTTTGGAGATACAAGGTTTTGTTTTGACAGCAGTGATATGTAAGTTTATGTGCAATTATATGTCTTGCTACTCTAACACTCCATCCATCCATCCATCCATCCATCCATCCATCCATCTATCCGGCTATCCGTCTATCTGTCTAAATAAACGGCATAATTAATAGTATATAGCTAGTATCGCCCATCTCTGTAATGCTTATCCTCACAGTTTTGTATCGCAGTGTATTTTTACACCCCTTATATATCATTTATGAGCTCTGATCTTATTATGAAACTTATGGGTAATTCCATTGATATGCTCATTCATGTCCAGCTATGATTGGCACCAGTTTTGTGAATGAAACTTCATTATATCGTCATATAAAACTGTCACGTCCACCCACATCCGCTGTTTAGGCAGTAAGTCATTAAATATGTGTGTATGCACATTTTGTGTTCATGGACACTGTAATTTATCATTGAGTGTCATTCAGGCTTCCCACAGCAGCCTCAGCTCCGGCATGTCTCAAACGCCCACTCAGCATCTTCAGAGTTACTTCTCAGCGTGAGGGTAGTCAATGATCTTCCAGACCCAATCTGCACATCAGTTTTGCTATTGATTAGTGATTGATCAGATGTTTAGGAATGAAAATGAGGCAAGATTGTCATTTTAAGGCACTTTGTCATTGTCACAGTTTCGTTTTGGTGCCTCTTGGAAAACTAAATAATGTAACGATGATGAACGATGTCACTGACTCTGTGTTTTTGTTTTGTCTCTCTTCCTCTCTCTGTCTCTCTCTTGTGCAGGCGGTATGAAATCAGCCCTGTGTGTGCAAACCTGCAGAGTCAGATTCTGAAGTGCTACAGAGAGAACACAGGAAAGACGCTGCTCTGCTCCAATATTGCCTCCCTCTACCTGCAGTGCGTCAACAGTGCTAAGCAGGTGAGCGTGTGCATGGTCATGTGTATGGATGGTAGAGGTGGGCGGTTATTTGAATATTTACTAAATATTTGTTAATACCATGGTGAACATAGGGGTGATCTTTATGTGATCTCTTGGACTCCTGGCCACAGATTGGTGTAGCATCACCAGGGATTGAACTTACAATCTCCTGCTTACACGCTTGTGTCACTCGGGAGCCCCAAATCATATCGCTGCTGTCGGAAGAAAACCTCGTATCTCCATTTTTGTCGTTTTTCAGTTTTTAACATTATCTGAAAATGCCTGTTGGCCTTTACATTGTTTATTAATTTCATGATTAATGGACCAAAAGAAATGACCCAGAATTAATGTCTGGTTCCATTCACTTACATTAAAGGTAAAGTAGGTTTTTGTTACTATTATGGAGATGCAAGGTTTTATTCTGGCAACAGAGATATAAATATATATACATAATATATATATCATGTAATCTTTCCTAAGACTGTGTGTGAAATGTAACCGTTGAAGCATAACCAGCCTCTATCACCATCATCGCACGGCATTCCTTCCAATACGAGGAATGCATGAATCAACTGGTACACAATAAATGATAAGTGAGAAATAGACCTCAGTGGAAAACAGAGCTTGATTATTTATAATTCTAATTTTTTTACGTCTTGTTTGTTGTTTACATATCTCATCGTATTTAACAAATGCTGTTTAGTTCAAATTATGGCTCTTGTGATTGGGAGAAAAATCACTTTTAGCCATTTGAGAGAGCTGGCAAACCCAGAGAAAAGAAATATACTAAATGAGATCTCCCCTTGATCTCAGGCACTTCTCCTAGACATGGTTAAGTCCAGTTAAATCAGAGTGAGACTTAAGTCTAAAGTTTTCTCCTGTTTCTGAAATTTGGCTCCTGAGAAATAAAACTTCAAATTGTTGTTACACATGACTTAAATCTTTAGTGTCTCATCTCACCCCAGTCTCAGCTGAATAATATCTCCATAAGAAAAGTGAAAGATCTCATTGTTTTCTTATAGAGCTCCATTCTGTATTACAGAACTCTTTCAGCAGTCTGTCAGTGCAGAAGGACAACTCACGCTTCTCTCTTTTGTCACCAGAACTTCTCGCAGTGAAATGCTGATGTTAATCTCTTCTTTTCTCTTAAGGGGGGTTTAGGAGAAACAATTCAGAAATCAGTGATCATTAATATAACAATGAGATCTGCTTTATTTCTCTGAGACGATCGTAAGAAAGATTGTTTTTCTTCTGGAAAAGGCTGAAAAATTTCGGGATGTCATTTCTTAATCATATCGCCCAGCCTGAGTGGACAGATTTCTCTATACTGTCTGTGATGTACAGCATGTCCCAGAATCGTTGTAGTAGTATATGCTTAAATAGAATCACATCAAAGTCATTAACACTGTTTTTCATTGTTTCCTTTCACAAGAATAACAAGTTTGAGGCAGCACAAATATGGGCAACTGACCTGTAAGTTCAAGTGCTTTTAAGTTTAATAGAGGGTCTTGGAGAGAATTAGTGAGTAGATGTGTGTGTACAGGTAGATAGCAGTAGTTAATGTGTGTGCGTTCCTTTTGTGAGAGCGGTAGCTGAGAAACTGTGCTAGACCGCCACATCCAAATAACCAGTTGTCACAGAAAACAAGCTGATATGTTAGTGACAAGTGGTCATCCACTCCTCCTCGTCACTCTGCTGCGTGCAGATTCACTGAACCCTTGCTTCTCTTCCTCGAGCGAGCCGATCCACTCGCGCTGGCGAAACCCTATAATAAAGCGCTCTCGCAGCCCCTGTATCGCAGACCTCCATTTACCAGCGCCGGCCCAGTGCCGAGAGTGGCCTCTCTCTTCCGCTCGGCTACGGGCGCTTCCCGGCTCCACGGAAATTGTAGGCTGCCACTGCAAGGCCGTCCGCGTAATGACAGTGGACGGGGGCCGTCCCTCGGCCCTGTTTAAGTGCGTGTTAAATGAAATAAGCAGAGGCACGCATGTGCTGTTTAGGCCTCCGCTATCTCCCTCTGTCCCTCGCTCACCCTCCTGTTAAGAATTAGACCTTAGTCTGAGAAAGCAGGGGGCGGGCGAGAGCGCGCAACTCCGACCTTCTTCGGCACACGGCGGCGGTTTCCCAGACGAGGCGCAATTTACATTCAGATAGCTTTTCTATTAGATTTTACCAGTGTAACTGTTTCACCAGACGGCAGCCCTACTCCGCTCTTTTCCCTTCTCTTGGGCATTAGTATTAAAGCTGGGTTTGAATTCCGCCGGGCTTAAGCAATGCATCATGTAAATGCAGATATGTTTTATTCATTTTTGTGTATGCGCAAGGCTACCTGGAACCTTTTTAGCATTCCTACCATTTCCGCATGCGTGTTTGTGCCATTATCTTGTAAATTTGAAACCCCAGTCTTGCCGTAGTGCGATGCGGCCCTTTATTTTATCAAGTGTATGCTTTAAAATGCATTCGTGTTTGCCCCGGGTTATCGCTGTAATCTGATTTTATGACTCACATAAAAGGATCACGGAATAATGCAGAGAAAACTCAATCTTGGACTCAAGAGGTGTGTGTATGCGTGCCTGGTTTTATATTGGGGAGAAGTGTGTCTGTGTGCGACTGAGCTCTCTGAGCTGAAATCATGTGGGTGAAAGAAGTTCACTTCTTGAAATCAGCCTTAGGGATGGGTGCGGTTATTGGAATATACAGATGCTAAACTCATTAGTACAGTCGTTCGCAAAGGTTTGAATACTACTGGTCAAATAATGTTAACCCATCATACTGCAATTGAGTGCACAATTTTTACTTATTAGCTGTCATATAGCAAAAAATTAAGCATTTTAACGTTTGAACAGGCCATGGACCCTCACAGAGCAGGTACTATTTGGATGGTGGATCATTCTCAGCGCTGCAGTAACACTGACGTGGTGGTGGTGTGTTAGTGTGAGTTGCACTGGTCTGAGTGGATCAGACACAGCAGTGCTGCTGGAGTCTTTAAACACTGTGTCCACTCACTGTCCACTCTATTAGACACTCCTACCTTGTCAGTCCACCTTGTAGATGTAAAGTCAGAGACGATAGCTCATCTGCTGCTGCACAGTTTGTGTTGGTCATCCTCTAGTCCTTCATCAGTGGTCACAGGACGCTGCCCATTTTTGGTTGGTGGACTATTCTCAGTCCAGTAGTGACACTGAGGTGTTTAAAAACTCCAGCAGCACTGCTGTGTCTGATCCACTCAGACCAGTGCAACACACACTAACACACCACCACCACGTCAGTGTTACTGCAGTGCTGAGAATGATCCACCACCCAAATAGTACCTGCTCTGTGAGGGTCCGTGGGGGTCCTGACCACTGAAGAACAGGGTAAAAGGGGCTAACAAAGTATCAGAGAAACAGATGGACTACAGTCTGTAACTGCAGAACTACAAAGTGCACCTATATAGTAAGTGGAGCTGATAAAATGGACAATGAGCGCAGAAACAAGGAGGTGGTCATAATGTGATGCCTGATCGGTGTATGGCGAGCATGGTGAGACTTTCTTAGGAGCCTTTCTCAAGAAAAAAAAATATGATTAAACGAAGATATCATGCAACTACACATTTCCACCAGAGATGTCTCCAAATCCCCAAAACTTACACAGTGCAGCTTTAATGTTAAAGTCTATTTTTGTTCATTTATTGCAGCTGTTAAAGTACAAGGCTAAAATAGCCAAGTTGGCTGATTAGCCATCTTCTACAGCCTCCTATCTGTTGAAACGTAGTAGCTCCTGACTTTAGGATAGATTCAGCTCGAGCTCAAGTAAACAAACATTACTCAGTACTGCCCTCGAAAGCTTTTATAGTATCAGTCAGAAGTTAGAAGTTCTGTTGTTTTCATAAGAAACATGACGTGTCGTGGACTTTCTGCTTTCTTTTATTTACATTTGCCTCAGTCCGACCATTTATGATTGTGAAAGCTAACAGCTGTTAACTGAAAATATTTTCGATCAGCTCAAATAATAATAATAGTTATTGCAGGCTTTGATATTTCAATAGCAAAAATGATCTCTCATTAATTAATACCAGAATACAAACATATCCTATCAGCTTTCATAGTAGGACTATCACTTCACATTTAATGTGCTTAATTTTAAGCACATTAAATGAGCACTTCTAAAGTCCTCCGCTGCCTCGTGGCGCTGCTAATCACCTGTACGTATGGTCCGTCATCTCTGCTGCTAAATAAGTGGAAGGTGCTGCTTTTGACATGTGCTGTCCAGGAGACGGGGTTAAAGACAGCGCGCTGTCATCACCGGGGCTTTGTTGAGGGTAATTACCCTCCAGCTTATCAATAATGAACTGATAACATTTAGCCCCGACCTTCCCTCTCCACTCCAGCTCTCTCTAATACGCAGGCTTCAGAGGCCCTGCCGCTGATAGCACGCTGAGAGGAGAAGAGAGGCAGATAAAAACGCACTCGGCCTCCGAAGACTCGCTGAATACCGGTTTATCATCAGGAACCGCTTGATATTTCTTTTCCCCTCTCTCTCACTCTCGCTTTTTTTTTTCCTCCTTCTTCTTCTTTAGCGCATGACTGACCCTCTTTTTTCCCCCCTCGTATTTTCTTCCTGGATAGAGGAGTTCATGGTTTAAGGATTAACACCTGTTTGTGTGGAGAGCCGATTTTTCTCTCCTCTGGCTAAGCAGCTGTGTCCTTTACCTGACAGCGCCGCGCAAATATTTCCCCTCGTTCCAGCGGAGAGCGATTCTGCCCAGCGAGGTGCTCAGTGTGGAAAATGTCTGTCTGAAAGTCTGCAGGCAGCCAGCTGTGGTCGTGAAGGTGCAGCTCAGGTCACTCGTTTAGGATTGAAGTTAGAGAATCTTTCCCGGCCGTCGGGCTCGGACCTCCGGATTGGAGCGCTGAGGATGACGAGAAGCCGAGTGGACGTGAATGTAGTTACGAGACCGAGAATCAATCAGTCCACAGAGCGGAAGAAGCTTCCTGCAGCTCTTTCACTCCACCTCAGTTCCTCCATCCACCTCTCTTTCTCTCTCTCTCTCTTTTTTGATCTTGCCTGTAGTGCAGTTTTAGGAAAGCACTTGAGCATCTTTCTCTGTCACTCTCTCTCTCTCTCTCTCCCCACTTCCCTTTCTCTCTTCTTTTTTTTCCCTCAGTCTTTTTCCCTTCCTGCTTCATCAGGTTCTTCCTCTCTCTCTCCTTTCCTTCCACCCTCTTATTTTCTATGCCCAGCAGCCTCTTTTCTCTTTTTCTCTCCCTTTTTCCTTTCCATCTCTCTCTTTAGCTCTATTTCTCTCTCACTTTCTTTTTCTGTGCATCTATCGTTCTTTCTTTTTCTTTTCTTCCTTCCTCAGTCTTCTTCTTTCCTTTTCTTCTGTTTGCATTTTTTCTTTTTTCCTCTCTGTCTCTCTCTCCCCCTTCTTCCTTCATCAGTCTCTTTCCCTCTCTGCCTCCCTCATTCCCTCTCTCCTTCTCTCCCTCATTCCCTCCCTCTCTCCTTCCCTCTTTCCCTCCCTTTCTCTCCCCTCTTCTCTCCCTCCCTTCCTCTCTCTCTTCTTCCTCCCTCTCTCTCTTCCTCTGTCCCTCCATCTCTCTCTCTCTCCCCCCTTCTCTCTCTCTCCCTCCTTCCCTCTCTTCCTCCATCTCTCTCCTTTCCTCCATCTCTCTCCCTCCCTCCTTCTCTCTTTCTGCCCTTCCTCTCTCCCATCTCCCTCCCTCCATCTTTCTCTTTTTCCTCTTCCTCTCTCCCATCTTCCTCCCTCCATCTTTCTCTTTTTCCTCTTCCTCTCTCCCATCTTCCTCCCTCCATCTCTCTCATTTCCCCCTTCCTCTCTCCCATCTTCCTCCTTCCATCTCTCTCTTTTTCCCCTTCCTCCCTCCATCTCTTTCATTTCCGCCTTCATCTCTCCCATCTTCCTCCCTCAATCTCTCTTTTTCCTCCTTCCTCTCCCCATCTTCCTCCCTCCATCTCTCTTTTTCCTCCTTCCTCTCTCCCATCTTCCTCCTTCCATCTCTCTCTTTTTCCCCTTCGTTTCTCCCATCTTCCTCCCTCCATCTCTCTCATTCCCCCTTCCTCTTTCCCATCTTCCTCTCTCCATCTCTCTCTCTTTCCCCCTTTCTCCTCTCCCATCTCCATCTCTCTCTCCCCCTCTCACTCTCTCTCCCTCCATCTCTCTCTCTCTCTCTCTCTCTCTCTCTCTCTCCCCCTCTCCCTCTCTCTCCTTTGCCCTGTGCACTAGTGTGTGTTAAATGTGTATTGACAGGCTGAGAGAGCAGAGTTTGGGAATTTTTCTTGCACTTATCACTTAACATGAAATCCACTCCCTCGTGGACTTTCCTCACCCCTCTCTACATTCTCCTTTCGTTCCTCTCGGTCCCTTCTAACGTGTCCTTCATCCTTTTCCCCTCTCACTCTTTTGCAGAACAAGTTGAGGACCGGAGGCTAATGCTGAGGGACGGAGGAGAAGCAGCCGAGTTCGTGGCCGAGTTAGAGGAGAGCAGAGGCACCACTGGATACACACCTGACCGAGAGGAACAGTATAGAAACCACGTCAACCAGAGAAATGGGACACCCTCCAACCCTTCCTTCACCTGCTCCCTTCACTCCTGCACCCCTCTTTTTTTCCTTTCTCCTCCCTCCATTTCCTCTTGCTCCTCTTATCCAGTATTGCAGCTAAGAGAGCCGCTAGAGGTGTAGCAAGTACCCTGTGCCGAACATCAAGAGCCAGAGAACACGTCTCAGAACGGCTCTGCTAGGATGGACCTTACTTGGAAGTCAAGACAAACCAAATGAAACCAAACATAAACCTCAGCAAAAGCAGTCAGGCTTCGTCGTCAGCTAGTTTTTCAGTCTTGTTTAGACGTAGTAAGTCACTGGAAGCAGGCGAGCAACAGGTTAAGAGGAAAATTTCCCTCAAAATAACCTGGATCTTCATGTTTTGTAAGTTATGCGGCAAAGTGCAAAGATTAACACGCTGCTCACCCCCATACTTACACCCGCACCCCATGACCAAGTCTATCAACGTGGTTCGTCCTCACACTAATGCCCAGCTCTTTATGCACTAGCCCACCCATCCTAACTGTTCATCGTGTCTCTGTGTGTAACGTTGATTATGTTTCTGCTTTATTTTTGCTTTTCTTCTGCATGAGCGCCATTGTTCGGACTGCCTGATCTGTCAGGGAGAATAAAAGGATGAAACTGGAAACCTGAATTTGTCCCATCACTGCTGCTATTGAAAATGTGCCTGTGGGAGAGACTGACGTTAGTGCTGATCATTGTGTCATTGAATTTGTTCTCTTACAGAATGACAGACTGTATATTGTTGCTGTCAGAACAAAACATTAGCTCCATTTTTGCTGTTTATTTATTTATTCATTTATTTAGCAAATTCGAAAATGCAAGCTGTCCTTCACAGCGTGCTTAAATCTCAAGATGAATGGACCAGTAGAAAATTACATGGAAAAAGACCTTCTGCTTTTCTAAATTTCTGCATAAATAAGATATTGAGATGTAAACAAAGTCATTTAGTCTGGTTTGCTGTGGAAAGGTTTATTGTAAAGAAACTTACTGACTCTTTACAGTGGTGGTGATAGGGACTAGGGGTCGCAGTACAAATATAGCCACTTTATTTACTGTCCAAAACTACCAGTGAACCTACACGTGTCTTCTGAGGTTTCGTATGTAATATTCATGATCGTAAAATGGTGGCAAACCTGAAACAAATGTTTTTTAAGGGCTATTTTTCCCCTTACAACACGCTGCATGTGCCTCTCCTGTACAGTTTAAGCCAAAATCTCATCTCAAAATTTCATGTAATAGTTTTCTGTGAGGGAGCTCTTAGAGGTGGACATCTGGTTCCTATCACCACCGCTGTGAACAATTCTGTCTGTAAGTTTCTTTAATGTGGAGCATTTCACACCAAACCACTCTGAACGACTTTGTTTACATCTTAACCATTTAATTGCACAGAAATTTTGAAAAACAGGTGGAATTCCCCTTTAATTCCAATTTAAAGTTAAAGGATTAGTTTACAGATTTTCCACGCATTGCAAATGCAGTTAGTCAGCCAAGACATTTGGTGTCAACATTTAGCTTCTTTAGTTTACCACTTGGGTTGCAAGGCTTACATTGCTAACACTGGAAGTCAATAGTCACCCAAACCATTTCTGTAAATACATGTCCAAAACTCTCAAACCACATTCGAGTCTTAATTCAGGTCATACAGACAAGTCAGTGTAGTTTACAACACGGTATGACTCCCTCTGAGGCTAACCACAAATGAGCATAAACTGCATATGTTTAAGCTTGAATTGAAGAAGTATGTCAGTTGCGTTCTGGACCCACCAGTGACCCACACATCACAGTAAGTGAGCACAACAATGGCGGAGAAAAAGTAAACAGGGCTTACCTCGGATTCACTTCTTTGAGGTGTCATAAAAGTTTACTTGTACCGCTGGAGTCCTGCTAGAAACAGGTGAAAACTTATCACCGCATACACAAATTACATAGCTTATTGACATAATTTGATGCAAGTATGTGAACAGGTTGCCATCTATTTGTGGAAATGGTTTTGATGACTATTTACTTTGTGTTTGGTAGCACCGTTAGCCTAGTGCAGAGGTTGGCAATCTAAATGTAAAGAGCCATTTTGTCCTTTCAATAAAAATCAATCCACCTTGGGAGCCACAACATTTTATGTCTATTTTACCATCTTGGCTGTAAATGTGTCTCTGTATGTGCTGATGTGCTAGTATAGACTAAAAATAAATGAAAACACAGACTTACTTTGCTCTGCTTTAAGCTTTAGCTCAGCTATAGTCGCTTTTCTCACATCTCCGGCAGGAAACTTTTCTTGTAAAATGTCTCTCAATTGTCAACTTTTTTACGAGGCTGAAGTCGCTTCTCATTCACCAGATTCTTGTTCAGATTTTCCCATTCCACCTTAAATTCAAACAAGAAGCTGGCGAATGAGAAACTGACGTCTGCTTCACGCTTTTTAGTGTTTGTCAGGTTCTCGTTGCAGATTAAACGTATCAGGAAACCAGCTGGAGGAAATATAAATGCAGTCCATTCGTCTCTAAATTATTCGTCTTAAATCTCTCTCTTTGCCTTTTTCGTTAGCTACTAGCTAGGCGAGATTGTTGTCTGTGTTGCTATAGTGACCAGCAGTCTGCGCTGATCTTCAGGGTTAAAGGGTGAATTAGCAGTTCTACATTAACTCCAGAGTTTAAGACCATTTATTGTTAAACTGTGTTGAACGATCAGCAGAGCTTTATTTTACTGTAAAGGAGGATTATTTTACTTTCACCTAAACATCTAATTTAAACAGCCGAGCCCTGGCCCAGCGGCTCCAGTTCTACACTAAAAAAAGCAGAACTCAGACACGAAATATGTCTTGGCTGGTCGACTGATAAGTGGAAAATCATGTAAATTTGATTGGTCATCAAACCTCTCCTTTAATAATGTATTTTCTTTCTCCTGTTTAGTTGCCATTTGAAGATTTTTGGAGATTGGAGGTTTTGTTGCGACAGCATTGATGTGTCTCACTCTGTCTGGCACTCCAGCACACACACTCTTATCCTCCACTGTTTAAATTTAGCCTTCATTTCAGACTCGGCAGTGCAAACACTCGCACAGATGCTCCCAGCTGTGAGATCTCCTCAGCAGACACAGGCAGAGGGTGGAGAACATGGGGGAAACAGCCAGATTGATCACAACTCATCACATGACTAACAAGAAATGAAGCAGTGCCATCCATCATGTGTTGGGGGTCTGGAATCGACAAGTTCCCCCGCTTTCCCCCTCTGCAGGTGGTGGCAGCAGCTGAGGCCTGAAGGTGGGGGCTATCTGGGTTCTCCAGTGCTTGTAGGTTTCAAGAATGGACGACTGCGCAACCTGTGATAGTAGGACTGTAGCAGAGACGGGAAGAACCCATGTTCAAGTAAAAGTATTAATGCTTCTGTAAAATAATGACTAAAATAAAAGTACCTTACCAAAAAACACCTCAAGTAAAAGCACTTAAGCATTTGGTCAAAACTAAATAGAGGAACTCCACTGATTTTCCCAAATTTTGGTATAATTAAACAGTTAACGTGTCAACAAAGTAATCCAGAGTGGTTTGGTGTGAAATGCTCTGTTTTAGAGAACCTTACCGAGTCAGAACTGTTCACAGTGGTGGTGATAGGAACCAGACGTTCACCTCTAAAAGCGCCCTCACAGAAAATTATTACATGAAATTGTTATGAAAACTCACCCTGATGTCTGAGACACTGATAAAGTTTTGGTCTGAAACGTATTTTAATCCATTTATTTTACCCCATTCATGGTGCAGGGATATATGAAGGGTGTTCTAAGGTAAAATAGTCCCCAAAGAAGGGGGACTGTATGAAGTGTAGGTTCACTGGTGGTTTTGGTTAGTAAATAAAATGGCTATATTTGTATTGTAGGCATCGTGGCCCCTGGTTCCTATCACTACCACTGTAAAGACATTTCAGTTTTAAGTTTCTCTACAAATGAATTATTTCACAACTGCTCTGAATGCCTTTGTTTATATGTCAACCACTGAATTATGCAGAATTATTGATGGAATTCCCCTTTAGATACTGAGTAGCTTACAGAGCTGCAGTGGAACGTCTTAGTAAATCCAGCATCTTTTACCACAGGAGCTGAAGTTCGTACTGCTCTGTTCTTCTATTTTTGGATCCTTTTAGCCTAAAATAAAATGCTAAAGCTCAAAGTCAGTAGTGGGACCAATCACAGAGCAGCACAGATGCTGATACGAACAAAACAGAATGAAATTAAACTGAATTAAATGGCTAAAATGTAACAGAGTAGGTTACGAACTAATATTCTTGAGTGGAAGTGAAAGTGTTATGTAAAAAGAAGAGGTAAATCCATGAATATTTTACTTAAGTACATCCCTGCTGGAAAAAAAAACAGAGAAACAATCGTGTTGGTTCCTGATGGCTTTGTAATGTGTTTTGGCTTTTTTAGTGGGTTGATATCACAATGTAATGAATCCAAATGGTAAAACAGGTGACCAGTGGCTGATTCTAAATGCACTTGATGGTTTCCTAATGGGATCTAAAGGTGTTACTTGACCCCCAGGGAATGTCATTCAGTACAGTGCCTGGCGCATGGCCGAGAACGGCCTACTTTGACAGAAAAGAGCCGTTTGGCTGACGTAGAGTTGGACCGAAATTAAATTGGAAAAATGTTCCTTTGGGTTTTAGACAAAGCAGAAAAATGTTTGAATATTTTGATTGAAAAAGAATAAATAGGCCTTTCTCAACAGGACAAAATCCAAGACTTTACGAATAAAATTAATGACAGTGAAAATGGGAAATTATGATTAAAAACGGTTTATTTTACTCTCTCACTCTTGCTGTCTTTTGCCTGCCCAAATGCAAAGTTCATTCAGGATATCTTAGATCATGTGTGTCAGGCTCCAGTCCTCGCGGGCCAAATCACTGCAGACTTCAGCTCACTACCTTGTTAAACACACCTGATTCAGCTCATCAGCTCATTAGCAAGGTCTTCATGAACTGAATTCAGAGAATTAGATGAGGGTAAACGCTGATATCCACAGCACTTTGGCCTAGAAGGACCCCAGTTTGACATGCCCATCTTAGATTTAAGGTCTTCTGGTGTAACTTTGCATTCGGACAGGCAAAACTGAGAACATGAACTACAAGAAGAGAACCTGCTCTGCTCAACAAATAGAGGACCACACATATCTGCCCTGTCCAGACCTCGAGACCTGTGGTTTCTGGTCTCGCAGACTTTGAGCATATGTTTTGTGTCGTTCACTGAAGTGCTCAATACCATCACGTCTGATCTGCACATTTGTTTTGCTTCCATTGAAATGTCTTATTTATTTATTTATTTAGTCGTCACATCCATTTTGATGAATTTATGGGAACTTCCACAAGCAAAATCTCTGAAGTCTGCATCCCAAGCAGACCCTCTGGAAGTTTGCATAAAGTCTGCGTGATCCATCTAACATTCTTGACGAATGGCAGAATTAGACGGGCCTGCTGCCCTCTAGACTTTCTCTGTAAGGCATGTTAAGTCTGGAGAACGCCAGAGATTGATTAGGTAATCATAACCCGACTGACAGTGTGGAGTTGTTCCAGATTGTGTGTGGCAGGTGAAGAGGGTTGTAGAACCCAGTATTGTAATGGTTTCCCACTAATGTATGGACCCCAAGAA